CCCCGCGAAAAGCCACCAGCAAGAGAAACAGACAGACTACACACAACACCACAAAAAAAATACTCACGCAGCGCCACCATGCCCATCACACAGCTTCTCATCAACCCCCTTCCGCACCTTATAATTTCACCACCCCCACCCCACCCCAAAAGCCGGCACGATCCTACATATCCTTGCCGCCGTGCTCACCGCCCCAATTCTTGCTTCAACGACAGCCCACCTCTCCCGCCACCCGCCCACCCCGGGCCGATTATAAATATCCAGCCCCCACAGATGCACCGGCGTGCTCGCGAGCTGCACCACAGCCGGCGCCGCGGACTGCGCCATCGTCTGGCCCGACACGTAGCGCTGCACCTCGTCGCCCACCCGGCGCGACAGCGCGGGCCCCAGCAGCGGCGGCACGTTGAACGACGCGAAGATGGTCAGGCAGTCGCGCGCCGCGAAGAGCATGTAGCTGGGAAGGGTCACGGGTCGCGGGGCGATGCCGGGGGGCCCGAAGAGCCGCACGAAGACTTGGTCTTTGTAGATGCACAGGCCGATGTTGGCGGCGGAGGAGGCGGCGAATTTGGCGGTGCCCGACGTGACGTGGTTGGCGGGGAGGGAGTGCCTGGTGGAGGTGGCGGTGTCGAGCGTGTTGGCGGTGAGGTAGGTGCCGCCGTAGAGGGTGAAGATGAGGGCGAAGGGCTTGGAGAGGATGATGCGGTGAGGGGTGCGGAGCAGGGTTTGGAAAGAGGCTTTGAGGGAGTCGACGAGCGGGCGGCGGCCGGAGGCGTTTTCCATTATGGAGCTGGGGAGGGGCGGTTAGATGGATGTGATGGGTGTAAGTGGGCTTGCTCTTGCTTACCGGTCGATGATGGATATTATTGGGGCCACGAGCGCGGCGGCTGAGGCGGCGCCGAGAAAGTCGGCACCGAGCCGAAGGCCCAGGTTTTTGGTGTTCCATTTTGTGGTTGTGTCACTGCCCGCCTTGGCCTCCGTACCGATCACTGGTGACGGAAGAGCCCGGGGTGCTGCCGCTGATGCTGCTGCTGCCGCCAAGTGTGACGGCTTGACTGCATCGAATTGGAGCCGGGGAGGAGCTCTGGGCGCTTCTAAGCCACCCACTCCGCTATCTTTCATCTTGTTGACTTTTGAACGCTTCAACCGTCAGTGGTTTGTAGGGCGGGGACCGGGACGGTGCCGTAGTTATAGCTGCCGGGTATGAGCGGCGGTCGTGGAAGATGGCTCCGCCGATACAACGGTGCCAAGCCCGGCGACGAGAAACCGAGAATGGAGAAAGTCGAACAGAGCGGCTAGTTGAGGAAGGGATGGCTCGGGGCAAGGAGGGGTTGGTTATTGAACATGAATTCGCGTTTCCATTATGCTTCCCACTATTGGGTAAAGGTAATGAGGGATAGCTCCTGCGGGTTGTTAGCCGCTGATAAATCAAGCTCCAACATCAGCTCAGAAAGACAGCACCTCACTCAACTTTGCGCGACTTCGCGTGTTGAAGCGCGCGGATAAGTGCAGCCCGAGAGCTATTGCCGAAATCGGAGCCCCACTGCCCACGTTCCGCTCGATCCCCTTGCTGTGTGAAGTGTGGGGGTTGGGGGAAGGTGGAAAGTTACCCCAAATAATCCACTCAGCACCTGGAAGTCACCCACGTGATTATCCCAACGCGTTTGTGTACACAGTATGTTAACGCCCGACCGCGGATCGAGCTGCAAAGCTATTTGCGTTGTTTATTCATAAATACTCTATTTATCGACATAGTCAGCCGTGTTTATGAGAAGTTACCAGGTGGGGGCCCTCTTATCCTTGACGACTTTGAGGCGGCACGGCGCCTGTGTGTGTTACCCTAACCCTAGTCTAACATGCATCCCTTGAGCCTTTGCCGACCTCCATCTAAAGCTCTTTTAAGACATATATTAGTTCTCCTGAATTTGGTTAACTACCTATGTACCAAAGGGGATTGTCTAGTAACATCTAAACTTACCTATCTTGTATCATCAGTTAGAAATGTATTTCAAACTAAAGACTACTGCTACCCTGCTTATCAGAACTCTTCAACTCTCATCTGGCTCCATCCGGCCTTTCACAGGTGTAGGCCACGTTCAAGTTGGTCTTACTTACGGCTGACCTGGTTGTATATAACGGCTCCATATTTCTGATGCAGCAACTGGGACTTTATGTTTCCCTAGTTAATATACAATAACCAATACTCGTCAAATGTGGTTCATTATGTGCAACCTCTGGTGGTAAGTTAGAAATGGTCTGTCTCATCGCCCGGAGTAAGAAACATCCAAGTTCTCCTAACCTCGTACCCGCTCAGTACTTTACTTGCCATCGTCTGCCAAACTCAATGGACCGACTACCTAGGTACTTAGAGTAGGTTTCACATCTCGCCAACCCCCAGTTCCACCAATCCAGGGGCATTACAATCATCCTTTTCAGTACGAAACAGCCTTCGCGACACCTCGTTGAGGGAAGCACTGAAACAGCACAAGGAAAGGTCACATACTTGTGATTGCTTTGGCCGCATGCTCTTATCCCGTGTGTCTTTGAATACACAACATGCAACTTCATGAGTCCTACCTAGCCTAAGCAACCAAATCATGGTTGTAAATGCGGATGTGTCAAATTAATAATAGCCCCAAGGTGCATGAAACATGTATCCATGTTTGGGTCGTTTGGTGGTTACACGGTTGAAGTAAGAGGCCTAGTTTTCGTGAGCGTTCCCATCACCGCATCCTAACATTACAATCCGAGTGCTTTCCTGTAGCTCTCTCGTAGTGTTTATCCCAACACCTTACAACACTCCTTTTTGACTGCCAACACATAGTCGTCCAAAGAAGACGTAACATCCATGGTCTGATTTCCACGGCTAATATAACTCCGTTTCTCTGTTGCTCTGCTCTAGGGCACAGACCGGCCCTCCTGGCTGGTTCACGGTTTCTCGCCTCCCGGCCTCCGAAACCTGAACTTCGTCTCTTCCTTTTCCCTCTTCGCCTCCTTGTTCCCGTCGCCGACTTTTCCCACCTTAAAACACCATCCAACACACTCAAACCACTCGCTTCTTTTTTAACAATCACCAAGACCCAAAGTCTCCTTCAGTCTAAATACAATCAAACCAATAGCATACATCGAGCGAGGCATCATGAACGGCCGCAACAGCCAGCCGGCGCGCGAAGAGGTAAGGAAGCGCTGGTATCTTCAAACCTTCCAAGTTGGTAAGTTGGAGAAGCTCGCTTCTCCCAAACGGATAACCAGATACCAGCAAGCCCACCCCTACTCGCCTTGGCCTTCCGGGAAGGCTCAACGCCATGGCAAATCCACCACTCCGACCTATCTCCTCTCTCCCCTCCGCCCCAACACAAACCAAGCACACCTAATCGCCCAAACAGCTAACAAACCCCCTACCAACAGAAACACCCCCCCCACCGCCCCAACCAACCCCCCATCACTCCACCCAGTAACCTACTCCAGTGTCGTCTCCCTGCCCTCTAACGCTGCACCCACTTTAACCGCCACCAGGCAAGTGGAGGGCACCCGAGCGCAGCGCCTGATGGCCGACATCGCCCAGAGAGGTCGTCGACATGGAGCAGGCCCTCGCCAACGTCATGCCGAGCCCCAGCCGCGACGTGCTCCGTCAGGCGGCCACCCGCATCGGCTTTGCCTTGCGCCTGCTCGGGCGGTGTCTTGGATCGTCTCTTCTTCCCCCGCCAGGGTGGGGCTGCTGCGGGAGTTGGGGGTGGTAGTGGGGTTGTTGCTGGACCTGTTTCGGGCACTTGTTCTGCTGCTGCTGTGGCTGGCGCTAGTGCTCTCGGCTTGGGAGCCCGTGGCGGTTTTGTCTCTGGTGTTGCTGGTGATGGTGATGCTTACGCTGGTTCTGGTGGTCGTGGTCCTGTTTCGTCTGGTGTGGTTGGGTTGGGATCTAGTGGCTGGGATGCCGGCTCGGTTGATGGTGACTCGATCGGCGATGACTCAACCGCCGTCGCTTCGTCCGAGCATGGGTTTGCTAACAGACGTTGGGATGGACGTTGTTGATAGGGACGTTAAGATGGATCTTGGTAGTGAGCTTTACATACCTAGACATTGACAGGGGCGTTACGATGGAGCTTAACATTGAACTGGGGAGAACACCCCAGGTCCTCTGACCAGAGGGAGAGTGGGTCATGATTTTGCAATTTTGAGTTCCGCGCGTCAGGGCGCCGTTGTATTTAGTCGGAAGTCGGGACCCTCCTCAATTCTAGAGGTTGATACGGAACGTAACATAGACCACGAGATGGAATTCTGCAGGAAGCGTCAAAGGGATGTTGAACTTCAGCTGACGGTTTCTGTGTCTTTCCGCTTGCCGGTTTAAGACCTCTAGTATCATAGCAATAAGGCGGTATGAAAAGGCAAAGCACATGCTTGACTGAACCGAACGCAGATAACATGGTATGGACAATGAAACTCTAAGGTCACTGGTTGGTCATGGCCAAGTGATCAAGTTTCAAAGTTGTAGAAATTGATGAATTATGCCGTCTCATGTAAATGTGAAAAGACCGTTGTATCAAAAGTCAATGTTGTCAGCCAGCTGTGTAATTATGAGTTGTAAAACAGGAAAGGAACCGGGACCTTCAGTCAATAGACTATGACTTGGTCGCAATTTCAACCTCTGGTGTAGGCTCCAAGAGACCTCTTTAGGTAGTAGGTAGGTAGGTATACAGTCCTCCGGTTACAGCTTACGTACGGCGGATCAAGGCAGCCGAGAAAATACTTCGATAGCGCACCGAATTGGCAGAGGATTTGGCCGGCCACCGTAAGTCTTTTCCACATGTCGTAATTATTGTATTTTACTGAGTTAGGCACCGTTGCTCTTGGGGATCCCTTTCCAGATACCACGGTTTCAACCGACCAACATTATTGCCGTCCCCTGAGCTTAATCGTCCGATATATGGCTCGGTTGTCTCCTAGCCGTCGTGTACCAATCCAGTCTATATGCCATAGGCAAGATCGTGGTGCTATGTTCATGCTTAGGTTAGTAGTGCTCAACAGGGGTCGATGTGCAAGCGAAGGGACCTTACCTGTATATCAGCCTCCTCGGAGGCATTGCGACATCGATGGTTGCATGATGCTCGATGCGAATATAGGATCGGTGTCATCACCTGAGACGAAGATAAGAAGGATGAATAAAAGAAAGATGATGAAAAGAAGAGAGTCGTTCGGCGATATATTCGCCAACTGGCGCCCTCGAATCGAACATGGATCCCCCGCCCCGGAGAAGAAAGCTTTGTGTGTTGAGAGGACAGTTAACCGGAACTTGATGCGCGAAAAATCGCCAGCCAGCGATCAAGACGTCACCACGTAGGGTGAGAGATGGGCCGCCACCGATGCAAGATGCCCCGCCGAAAAAGCGGAAGATGGGCCACCCCCGATCCAAGATGCCACCACGTAGAGCGGAAGATGTGCCCGTGTTGTCGAAGAGTGGAGGCGTTCGTTGACGTGTTGTGGTACGATCCAAGCAGCGAAAGTCGGTATCGTCAATCCCGGGGGTGGACGTGTCAATGACAAAAAGTGCACATCGATGGAGGCACTAACTAGAACTCGTCGAGCAAATACCTGGATTGCACATCCTCGTATGTGATAAACGATCTTTCGGGCCTAGCTTTGTGCACAGAGACGCGACTGAGTGACAGGGGGTAGGTAGGCGTGGGGGTTGGGACAGAGCAGAGGCAGGCTCACATGCTGGTGTGATGCCGCTTTTCAGAGATTGACTAGGGTTCCATTGAGCGGGTTAGTGGCGATCTGTGGATAGATATCGTACTAGCCAGCACTGTGATACTTAGTTTGGCGCGGCATTCCGGCGGAGACGAGAGGTTGATAGAGCGGAAGATGAGCCCCCGGCTGGACCGCCGTGCCGGTACCGGGGTTGTCGAAGAGGCTCAAGAGCTCAAGATTTCCCTTTCATCCGCTGGAAAACCGACGAAGGTGTCGCCGGCAGGACGCGCTTCAACAGCTTGAAGACGGTGGGAGTGAGCAGCTTAGCTGTCCGAGTGGCCATCGCGACTAGGCTGCAAAATAAAGGTCTTAGTTAGTTGGGGCTACGATAGAATCAACAGGAAAGAGATCGTGGGGCAGGGGAATGGTATAGAGCATCAAGGACTAGGCTGAGGGAGCGGCACAACAAAATCACACTTACACTGCCTTCAAGTCAAGTCCCACGGACAGTTTGATGCGGCCACTCCGCCACCAGCCAGTCTTTTGCGCCGTTGAAGGCGCGGTCCGCAAAGGCATCGATCCCGCCCGACCGAGCAAGAGGGGAACAGAAAAAATAGAGTCTAACATTATATAATAAGTATAGACGAACGCTGGGATGGGGGCGGGGGGGCTGGTTTCGTCTGAATACGGGGAAGAGGAAAAAGTGGAGGAAAGGGAGCGAAGTCAAGAAATCATTATACACCATGAACAAGACGCTCGCCTTCCCTAAAACGAAACGGATCAAGGTGGGCATCCGGAAGGAACTCGTTAAGGTTGATGTGGTTCTCGCTGTTGTACCATGAGCAAACAATCAGTGGTAAGTGTGTGCTTCTTTGAAAAGGCAGGCATTGCCGCCGGATACAATAACTGCAAGGCAGAGTTGACCCCAGGAGCGTTAGAGGTTGCGGAGCTTGCCTGCCTCAGTTACAGGTAAGGTACCTAGGTATTTCCTGGGCTGCCTTGACTGAAGTACGCAACCAGCTTTTCTCTCTGCCGACGGATCCAGTACCAAATCAAGATCCAAATAGAGGGATGTTCGCAGTTAGCCCAAACCCCAAGTGCATGGCCTACCCCTCTTCCGTAAGTGTCCCCAACTACGATGCGATCTGCTCCCAACCCTTGTAAACCTCGCTCGCGACGCGATGTAAATCTCGGGGCCCATAGGAGCTGCAGCGCCGGCGAGTGAAAGGACAGAGCAGCCGTCATCTGAAATTCCCTATCCGTTATTCTAATGCCAAGTTCCGTGTCAAGTTCATTGTAAAGTTCATTGTCAAGCTTATTGTCAAGCGCTTTGGCTATATCATCAAGCGCTTTGGCTATAGCGTCAAGCTCCTTGGAGGCCGAAGCTTCGGCTTCGAATTCGTTATATTCATCCCAGTCCCCAAAATACTGTTCTAGGAAGGCTTCCATGTCCATTCGGTGGGGCGAAGCGCGGCGGTTCGGAGAGCAGACCAATTCGAGTGGCGACTTCGGTACATCGCCTAGGTTTTGACCGGTACGTGGCAATAAAAGTTGGGCAAACCTGCATCGAAGACAACGCGGTTGATATGGGTTGCAAGGGCATGTTTGGATGAGCTTTTGAGCTCGGATGGAAACGTCGCTGTCCCAAGGTTCGTGTTCAAGCTCAAACGTATCCCAGTGCAGTGCGTCCATGTTCGAGTGCAGATTGGTGCAATATGATTGCTTTGCGGGAGAGCTAAGCCCCTAGGATTTGTGGCGATGGTCGGAGGGAAAGTTGAGAAAGGTGCGGACACGAAGGCTGAAGAGAGATGGAAAAGAAGGTTGATTAGGAGGTGGGTTCAACGTGATGGGTGGGTTTGACTATAAGCCCCGACATGGAGCTGCCTAATCACCTTCTCGGCCTGTTAGTCTCTTACCTCGTGACGTATATCACAGAAAGGACAATTCTCAAGGGCTGATGAGGAGTGCTGGTGGAATGCCTTGAGTGATCAGACGAATTGCGCTTTTCGTATTGTGATGTAGTGACATCATATGTCGCGTGAACTGCGCGTCATCTGTGCACGCTGGAAACCGAACCATCCCGGAGAACCTTGTCTATCAGGAAGGTAACTATTTTGTTCACTTTTACCTCACCAGCATGGAGATGCAGCGTCCGCTCAGCAAGTCCCCGCACACAGGGTATCTGCGGCGTTTGTGCAGCGCATATCTCTGAATCTGTTGTGCATTTGTCTCGAAGAGGTTGTGGTCCAAGCAATCGTGCTCCTATTGAACTCCCGCTTTACACTGTACACGGACCAGAAGGCCCTCCCCACGCCTCGACCGATCACCCATCACATCCAGGTTAATGCTTTGCAGGAGTCGACTTCTTCTCATCCGCCTCCGCCTGGTCCATGAATTTCCTACTATCATGTCAGAGAAATAACCATATGGACGGCCGGGGGTATATGGGCGCACTTGATGAAGTCGGCCTCGTCGGAGCTGGAAGCGTTGATCGGGGGAGTCGCGGGCTTGGCCTTGCTGCCACCCATAGCGGCGTATGATCCCACGAACAATGTACCCAGGACACCCATCGCCAGCTGCAACACCCGTAACGTCAGCCTTTGCACCTCAATGGATCCCGGAGGAGACGGGTCGGAGCTTCTCGGGGGAGCGGAAAGGGCGCTTCAATTGGGGAAACTGACGTAGTGCGAGCCGACATTGGCGCCGAAGAGCTTGTAGGTTTGGACCATTTTGGCGTCAGGTCGGAGAACGAGCTTGGTGATGTGGTGGTGGGAGTCCTGTCGGGAGTAATACGGAGGATGCGATGTATGGCGAGCAAAACGTGAAAAGGTCGCAGGTCGTCAACCTCCGTTCCTGAGCACCCGAAATTTTGCCAGAATGCCGGGACGGGTGGGCACGGACCAGGCTGGGCTTCGGCGCCGGGCTCCACACCAAGACATCCCGGCCGATTGCAGGCAGTGGGGAACAAAGAGCCAGACTACGTCACGAACGTCTCGCGGTGAATCTCGAAATCGATCAGCTCCAGTCGAGGACATCTTCCGACAAGGCTCTCGCCTGAAGATTGTCAAATTATCTGTAGAGTTAGGCCAGTGGTTTTTCCTTCGTCACAAAAATCTTGACGCAGGGCTACAGATTCCTTCCGATTGTTCCCGATCGACGCGCAGACCCGACCCTTGGTGGGGTGTTATCGTGACTGGCCTTCGCAAAGCAGCAAAGCACAAACACCGACGCACCTTTTTTTTATCATCACAAAATTGCAAAATGTGGCCTTGGAGTAGCAGCGCGGACAAGCCTGTGGGCTCATCCACTTCCCAGAATGAGCCCGAGAGCGCGACAAAGGACGTGAAGAAGGCCGCCGCCGAGTTTGACCCTAGCAAGCTTCCCGACAAGCAGAAGCTGAACCCCAAGCTCCAGAAGATCATGGACAAGGAAGACCACGAAGACAACTTCTTCGACGAGCTCGTCGACGGCTAGTACGTCTCTTCACCCCTCCCCGTTTCCTTCACCCCTCCCCGTTTCCACACCCCCACACGCCGCCCGCAACCAACCATCCCCCTAACCGACCCCTATGACAAACCGCAACAGCGCCCCGCCCTCGACCGACTCCAACGTGCGCTACGCCGCCTACGCGGCCCGCTTCCGAACCATCCTCCTCTCGGCGCACCGCTACGTGGCCTACACCTCCGACATTGGCGAGTCGTTCCGGCCCGTCGCGCACCCGTGGCTCGTGCGCGGCGCCTACGGCGTCTCGTGGGCCTACATCCTCGGCGACGTCAGCTACGAGGGCTACAAGGCCTTCCTGCACAACCAGCGCGCCCTCAACCCGCGCCTCGAGCTCACCGCGCGCCAGCAAAAGATCCTGGGGCTCGAGGAGGCGACTCCGCCGCCCACTGCTGCTGCTGTTAAGGAGACGGCGGCGCCTGCGTTGGGCGCGGGCGCGGGCGCGGTCGCGCCGCTGGACGATTACCGCACCGTGATGCTGCAGCGAGGCATCTTCCAGAGCCTGGCGAGTATGGGTCTGCCGGCGTTTACCATCCACAGTGTGGTGCGGTACAGCGGGCGGGCGATGAAGGATGTGAAGAATGTGCGGGTGCGCACGTGGGCGCCCATTGGGCTCGGGCTGGCCGTCGTGCCGTTCCTGCCGAGTATTTTCGATAAACCGGTCGAGAACGCGGTCGAGTGGGCGTTCCATAAGGGGTTTGAGGCGTATGGTGGTCACCAGGCTGTGGGGGATGCGCTGCTTATTGGGAGGGAGAGGCAGTTGAGCGAGCGGCCTAAGGAGAAGAAGGAGTGAGGTGCGGTGGTTGGGGACGGTATTGGGTTGGTTATTTTCTCTCAGCTCTACGATGGTCAACGGCTCGGGGGCGTTACGGTTTTCGGTGTTATGGTGTACAATTTTTCGATGAATCTACGCTGTATTATCAAAAAACATATTGGTGTCCTCGGTTACATCCCCACATGACATGACCGCCGCCTGGCCCGGTATCTGTCCCTGAACGCCGTTACCAACCCAAATGCTATGCTAAACCATGCGAAGATGGAACGCCCTTCCTTGCCCTAATCAGGTTTCAATCAAATCCGGTGGTGGCCCAACGCCCCTTAGCAAGACAACCGTGTTGCCACTTTGTAACACCTTCCCAAGCTTCTCGCTAAAATCCAACATCCGCCCCCCTTCGACGTGGAACACCCGCAACTTGTCTTCCTCCGAATTAGATTGGTTGTTGATATTCTGAACCTGCAAGCTCCGCGCCGCAGCATCCAGCATCTTGCCCACAACCCAGTCCTGCGAGTAAAAGAACTCGCCCTTGGGGAGCTTCGCCTTGGCCGTAGCCGCCTCGGCCTCCACATACAGATACACGCGCTTCTCGGGCGCAATCTTCGCGTCGCCCTTGGCTGTTTTCTTCAGGTTATTGACCGCAATCATCTGCGCGACCTTGGGTTTCGCGCTCGGTGACGAGAACGTGACCTTGGCCTGCTCCTTCTTGGCCTGGCCCCAGAGGCGGAACCGCTCGAGGGCGCTCTTAGCCCCGTCCGCGACGGCGGCCGCCTGCGCTGCGCTCGCCGCCCGTGCCCCGATCGGTGTCTTGCTGCTGCATGCGTGGTCTTCGCGTAGCCGGTGCTTGAGGCAGTAGTCGCGGTTGCAGTTGCCGCAGTGCACTCCCGGCACCAGCGCCGTTCCGATCGTCGTCTTGCAGCCGTCGTCGGCGCAAGGTTTTTGGGAGACGAGGTCGCGCATGCGTCGGCCTTCGCCTGCTGAGTGTTTGGCGAGCTCAGCCTCGCGCTTGCGTGCTGCCCATGCGCCTGGGTTGGTGCATGCGTGGCCGTCTTCGGTGCGGTGGTCGAGGCAAAAGGTCTTGTTGCAGGACTGGCATTGGAACGGGAGGAAATCGAGTTGGTTGCAGTAGCTGTATTGGCAGTGTGAGCCGATCAGGGCCGCGTCGGTCCCGCGGCTGTCGACGGCGGCGGAGGACATTTTGACGTAGGAGGTCTCGTCTGCGTTGGGGGGGTCGGAGGAGCCCATGGTTGCGGGAGGTGGTCGGTCGCCGCTCCAATTAAAGAGTGATGAAGAGCGGCTAGGTGGCAGCGGATTGCGCAATCGAACTGTTGTCGCCACAAATTGTCTCTGTGTGTAATGGGTGAGGCGCTGACCAAGCGAGTCGAGGTGGACGACGAGATCTGGCTGCCTGCGACTCTGGGGCTGCGGTCACTGGAACGATCTCGAAGGCACCCGACAGCTTGGCGGGGATCGGCGGGGCAAGGGGCGCATGGCGCCGATCATCCACCTAGCGGCTTGGCGGCTTGGGCACGAGGCAAGCTGGGTTAGGGTCTGATAGTTCAACGCGCCCGTGAACCGGAGCTTTGGTTTGGTGATCCTGGCAATCGACTGATCGCCTTCGCCATCACGGCATCTGCCGCCGACCTTCCACGTCGTTCAACATGCCTCGCCACTGCGTAACAGTTCGAAGCCGAAATGCCTCCTCATGTGCCGCGCAAACGACTACGAAATAGTACCCCTCCCCTTGAAAATGAGATTAAAATAAAGCAGAAGAGCGGGCAAAAGAATATCGCCGTGCCACCGCGCAAGTCGACGCTCTTCGATGACCTCGATGCGGGCTCAACCCCGCAGTCATCGACACGGAATGCGTCATCGAATTTGGAAATAGAGGATAGTGATGACGACGAAAGCTCTTTGACGTCACTATCCGATGCCGACTTCGAGGATGCCCCATCCGCCAAGCGACGGAAAACCCAGGCGGCGGTTGACGAGGTGGACGATGACGACGAAGACGACGAAGACGATGAGGATATCCAATTCGAAGATGTCGAGACTCCGCAAGCGGCGTTTACGAATGTTCCGATCCCTACCGGCGATCTCGAATTAACATTGATCAGGGACACCAGGATATCCTTGGCGAATGCATTGGGGAAGAAGGGTCCGTCAAAGTTGGAGCGGAAGATACGGTTTGCCACGCATTGTGCGCATGTTCAGTTTTTGATGTGGCATAACGCTCTCCGAAACTCCTGGCTATGCGATCCGACAGTTCAAGGCATTCTGTTGTCTCATCTCCCGCCGAGGTTATGGGCCGAGGTGGACCGTTGGAGGAACAACAGCGGGTTGGAGGTGCGGGAAGAGGCGCCTCAAAGTGGCAAGCCGCACAAGAACCCAAAGGGCAAAGGGAAGGGCCCAGCGCGAAAGGGCCGGGACTGGTCCGCGGCATCGGAACGTCTTGAAAAAGGCGCTGTGGACATGAGCCATGGCGATCCTTTGTTCAGACTGATGAAGTATCTCGCCGCTTGGTGGAAACAGCGGTTTCGCATCACCGCTCCTGGGTTACGAAAGTGGGGGTACATGTCCTTGGAGAGGCTTGACCGTCTGACGAAGGCTTTTCAGAGCGATGAACATGACCAGGAGAGATTCGGGGAACGGGTCCGGGATATTGATGAGTTCCGGCTGTGCGCGCAGGAATGCACCGGCAGCCGGGACGTCGGAGCCCAACTCTTCACCGGGTTACTCAGGGCGCTGGGCTTGGAAGCTCGCTTGGTTGCCAACATCCAGCCGTTGGGTTTCGGGTGGAACAAACTGGAAGAAGCGGATCCTGAGAAGGAAGGCTTCAGCTACGGTCATACTCCCAAAAAGGAACCTGCTCAACGAAAGTTAGATACTACGCGGGCCGATGCGACGAAGACCGTGAGGAGTACCGCCCAGAGTCGTGGTTCAAAGCGACAAACTAAAGCGCAGCTAGAAGATCCGTCCGATTCTGAGCTGGCGGTTGACGACAGTGACGACGACTTGGCCATTCATATTCCGCAAGCACCACAGAAGAGGGGAAAGATTTACGATGCCGACCTGGAGTTTCCTCATTACTGGACCGAGGTGTTGTCACCGGTGACGAACAAATATCTCGTCATCGACCCGATCGTCAAGGCTGTAATTGCCACAAATCGAGAACTCGTCGAGTCGCTTGAGCCTCGTGGTGGCAAAGCCGACAAGGCCCAAGCAGGTCATGGCTTACGCTGTCGGGCACTCGCAAGATGGCACGGCCCAAGGATGTGACGGTGCGCTACCTCAAGCGGCAAATGCTACCGGGCCGAACCAAGGGAATGCGCATTTCTATTGAGAAAGTACCGGTCTACAATCGCCATGGCAAAGTCAAGCGGTACGACCAGTTCGACTGGTTTAGATCCGTCATGAACGGCTACGCCCGAGGCGATCGGAAGCACCCAATTACCGAAGTCGACGATGACGAGGACGCCGCGGACTTGAAACCCGCAAAACCCGAGAAGAAAGAAGTTAAAGAAGGCGAAGAAACCCTCCAATACTATAAACAATCCAAGGACTTTGTTCTTGCACGACACCTCAAGCGCGAAGAAGCCTTGCTCCCGGGCGCCCAGCCAGTCAAGACCTTTAAAAACAAGGGCAAGGCCGCCGAAGAAGAGCCCGTGTACGCACGGGCGGACGTTGTCCAGGTAAAGAGCGCCGAAACCTGGCACAAGCAGGGCCGGGCGCCGAAATCGGGCGAGCAGCCCCTCAAGCGTGTCCCTTACCGGGCGGCAACGACCAACCGCCGCCGCGAGATTGCCGAGGCCGAGGCCGCCACCGGCGAGAAGGTGCTCCAGGGCCTGTACGGCTTCGACCAAACCGACTGGATCATTCCGCCGCCCATCGAGAACGGCGTCATCCCCAAGAACGAGTATGGCAACATCGACCTGTTTGCCGAGCACATGTGCCCCGAGGGTGCCTTGCACGTGCCCTTCCGCGGCGCGATGCGCGTGGCCAAAAAGATGGGGATCGACTTTGCTGAGGCGGTGGTGGACTTTGAGTTTGGCCACCGCATGGCTGTACCGGTTATTCAGGGGGTAGTTATCGCAGAGGAGCATCATGACCAGTTGATGGAGCTATTGGCCAAGGATGAGGAGGAGAAGAAGAGAAAAGAGGACGAAAAGAGGCGGAAGGTCGCGCTGGGGATGTGGAGGAGGTTCGTTATGGGACTGCGAATCGTGGATAGGATCAGACAGGACTATGGACAGGTGGGAGAGGACGTGGATGTTTTTGGACGAGGGAACAGTGGGCAGGTTCAGAGAGATCGGGAGGAGATGGATGCCACTCCTGGGTCGGGAGAAGACGAGGACATGGCGGGGGGTTTTTTACCAGAGGGGTACGAAGAGGAGGAGGAGCGGGCGGCTAACCTGACCTCGGGGTTCTTTCCTGTCGTCGACGAGGAGGAAGACGGGGAGGACGACATGGGAGTGCTCGAGGTTGACCATGGGGAGGCCGCGCATAAGCCGGTAGCTGGGCCAGCCAAGCCAGTCCCACGCACGAAGCCGAAGCCCGAGACGGCTGCTAAAGCTAAAACATACGCGCCTGGTCGCAAAAGTCGCCGGCCCAATGTTCTGAGGAGAGAGGAGGAAGAGGGGGGAGAGGGTGATGAGGAAGCTGACTCGGGTCTATGAGGGACTGAGGTTGTTGGGGTAGATTACTCCCTCCATTTGGAGAGCAGAAAAATGAAGTGCGTTATAGAACCATGTACCTCAGTAAAAGGAGCAAGAGGCATGACTGCTGGTCGCCGACAACAAAGGCTCAGGGTTGTGTCCTGTTCTATTGTATCCGTCGGTTGAGGGTAATCGGTTTGTTCCCATGGCAGGGGGTGGCGATGATGTCCTCTTCCTTGTATAGGGGCAAGTGCACAGATCTGATGACGACGCAGCGGCGTTTGTATGTTACTGTGATTGTTACTGAGCTCGTTGAGCTGAGTGGGATGAGTGAAACCACGGCGTTGAACAGCTGACAGCTGAGGTTTCTGTAATTACAACTGCTTGTACGACAATTCCCCATTCAGGCCTTTCATCCCTGATGGGAGGTCCGTGCACTATTGGAATTGGAGAGAGGACAAGCGCAAGAGCTCCTTCCTCCCAACATCAAAGGCCGTGGCCACTCAGCCAGCGGCTCGGTTGTCGTCAATCAAGTCCGTCTCCAACAAGCAAAATCGAATCGGCACGTGTCATGACTCGAGCCTGGTGCCAAAAGGCCCAAGGCAGCGATTTGGGCGACCCGTCTGTTCATAGGTTTTGCTCAGTAACTCTTCATCAGGCCTCGGTCTTCCGGGCTGGCTTTCGCTTTTGAGCTGTTGCTAAGTCAACCTCACTTGGTCCTGTCCCTGTTCAAATAATTGAAGATTCACACTTTGTTACGGCCGTGGCGCTTCCCCTTCTCCTTCCCCACTTCCAACTAGCTCGCATCCAGCATCCAGCATTTGCAGCAATCTCGAGTTGTATTAAATGTTTCGGTCGGCGCCCTTGATCATCGCCCAGCAGCACCACCCAACCCACGACTGACTCGCGACTCACCAACGCACGACTTATTAACTCGTCATCCCGCCCGTTCCCATCCTCTCTGCCACCCTTTCTTCTCATTCGAGCCGTTCTTACAATGGCACCCCGAGATGTGATCGTAATCAGTTCTGACTCGCCGTCTCCTCCCCCACACTCTCCTCCACCTTTGGCCGCCCAACCAAACTTAATCGACTACCTCGAGGCAGATCTTGACGCCGCCCTAAACGGTGACCTAAACCATAACCTGGACGGCAGCAATCTTCAGGGTCTACCGTAAGTGTTTCCGTTCATCCCTCAACCATACATCCTTATACGCTGTCACAAATCGGGTGTTTTTGGGTGCACCGGCATGGGTACACCGTCATCGTGAACCTTCCGGGGATCTCAGTCGCTTCCCTCGGTCAGAAGCCGTCATCAAGTTTCACGTCCTTGCTACAGGCGCTTGTTCTTCAGTTTTTGAAGTTATCTGGACGGTTTGGGTTACCTCTGGAGTTCCACGGGGGTTCCGTCGGCACGTTCTCGATTGTTTTGCTCAGGAACGCCTGTTCTCTCACGCCACATTCCTACCACGGAGATCCTTACTGCTCGAGTCTCGGAGAACAATACCAACTTGCCGGCCATCCACCCCTATGACAAAGTTTATGCGACTCCACATGCTAACTTTTCGAGAAGGGAACCATCACTGCAAATGCCTGCCGTCCTTCGGTCAAGCTTAGGGCCAGCAGCCCAAAATGAGGGGATGTCAAAATGCGAGGAGGACGTTTTGAGCTGTTTCCCAGATATTTGCCCAGGCTACCTCAAGACCCAAATGCAGCAACATCATTGGAACTCCCAAAGCATTGTCACTCGCCTCCTGGACGACCTTGAAAAGGGCGAGCCGTATCCAAAGCGGGTTTCACTGAAACAAAAGCGTCCAGAAAGGGTCGAGGAGAAGGAGAAGGAGGAGGTCAAGCGCCGGAAATTTAACCATGAGGATCCACGGCTCGTTGATAAAGAACCTACATACCAAAAGCTTTACATCAAGAAGGCGTAAGTCACTTGGCATAGGCCTTGTCATCCTAGACCCTCGGGTTGCCAGGATCTCCCGACCCTCCTATCCTCTCGCATAGCCTAACCCGTGGGCAGGAAAGCACTCCTCAAAGTTGCTTTTCACCAGCGGTATGCCGAAGACATCGAAAGCGCTCTGAAAGCGAACAACTACCAGCTTTATGCGACATACCTTCTTCTTGACAAGGCTTCTTGGAGTGCAGAGGGAAACGCCATGAAACATAAAAGAATCAGCTCCAAGCGCCCTCACGCAGAGGAGGATTTGCGGCGCGGCGTGGTTCATCAAGCAGAAATTGATGCTCTAGCGGCATTCGATGCAGCCCGTGCCTTTTGTACGGAGGAGGCCGAGGCGCGCGAATCCAAGGAAGCCGAGCAGAGGCAGAAGGTTCAAGAGGAGGAAGAGAACTTCCGGCGCGCCAAGGCCGAAGGGTCAGTTGCTGAATGCGGTTGTTGCTACGAGGAGCTGGCTCTCAACAGCATGGTTCACTGTGCCGGAGACACAACACATTGGTTCTGTCGCTCATGCGCCAAGCAAATGGCCGAGCATTTGGTCGGGCTTTCCAAATACCGCCTTGGCTGCATGTCGGTAGACGGCTGCGACGCGACTTTTTCTAGGGACCAGAAAGAGCTCTTCTTGGATGACAAGCTGACCAACGCCCTGGAGCAGATTGAGCAGGAGGAGGTTCTTCGATTGGCTGGAATCGAGAATCTAGAAAGTTGTCCATTCTGTCCGTATGCGGCCGAGTATCCTCCAGTCGAGGAAAACAAGGAGTTTCGGTGCGAGAATCCGGAGTGCAACTTGGTCAGTTGCCGCTTGTGCCGACAGGAGACCCATATACCCAAGACTTGCGAGGAAATTGCGAAGGAGCGCGGGCATTCGGCTCGGCGTACAATCGAGGAGGCAATGTCTGCTGCCTTGATTCGCAAGTGCAACAAATGTAGGTCCCTACTTTCCCTCCTTTCTAATCGATGCTGACTGAATACCGATGGATAGGCGGCACTCCCTTCATCAAGGAACATGGCTGCAACAAAATGACGTGCACCCGGGGCGGATGTGGCAACGTGCAGTGCTACGTCTGCTCCAAAAGGTGTGATTACGATCACTTCGACGACATAGGCAGAGGGGGCAAGAAAGGCAACTGTCCCTTGTATGACAGCGTCGAGGTCCGCCACCAAAACGAAGTCCATGCTGCTGAGGCGCGGGCCCGACAGCAAGTCGTCGAGCAGAATCCCGATGTAGGGGAAGAATTACTGGATATTAACTTCTCGGAGAAAGTCAAGGAGGACGATGTGCGACGCGGGGGGGCCCGCCCGACACCACAGCGGGCTCATCAGCGTCAAAATTTGGGCGTGGTGGTACCGGGGCGGCTCCCAGTTGTTTTCGGTGTGTAAAAATCTCTCGCCGTCACCGGCCTTGCTCTGGACTAGCACAGTTTAGCTTACTGGCCTTGGTAGCGAACCGAGTACTTCCCCCAGCAGCATACATCGACGCGCGCCCCAGGATCAGACAACTTGCTGAGTTTGAGCAACAGCTGCAAAAGTTGAAAGCACAAGCGGACGCGCGCGGGAGAATACTGATACAGACACCTCCGGCGGCACCAGCGCAGCCACCACACGCTCGACAGGAGCCAGTAGGCCGGGTCGACCACCCTCAGGTCTTCCAGTACCCGCCCTATAATATGATAGACTTCACCCCCTTGGCGCAGACTCCTGGTGTACCCACCCCACGATCTGCTCCGCCGGCTACTGCTGCTCCGGCCGCTCCTGCTGCCCCGGCGGTTTCCGTTGCTCCGGCCGCTCGTGTTGACTCTGCTGGGCTTGCTGCCCCCGTCACCCCCACAGCCCGAGTTGCTTCTGCTGCCCCAGGTTTTCCGGGTCAGCCTTACGTGAACGGCGGCCTCGGGTCTTTGCGCCATAATGCTTTAGTTGCAGGGGCAAGGGATGCCGGAGTCGGGCAAACCGTTATCCAGCCTGGAGGTACTGTTAGGAAGTGTAACCTGTCCGCTGACCCCCGCAACAACCTCTCCGCTAACTATCTTAACCACGACCCGTTTGCTGACCCTTATAATAAACCGCTGATTAACGCTGACGCCAAGAACCCGTTCGGCATCTATCTCGGATCTCCCTGGCGCCCAGATGCGGCCATACAGGCTCGGGGTCAGGCTCCTCAACCTGGCCACCGGCCCAATCCACAACAAGGAGCCGGCGCCAACCACGGGACAGGGGCTCGGGGGTCACAGTTTCGGGAAGGAGTTGCGGCCGAGAACGCGAACCTTGCCGCCCCGAATATTGAGGGCTTCCCAGGCCTGAACATGCGGGGTTTTCCAACTCCAATTGAACGGGACTCTGTGGTGCCAGAAATCCAAGACCCGCCGCTCCTCATTATTCCACGTGGAAAAAGGCGGCAATAATGCACTAGGGCTTTGGGGGAGGTTTGTTACCGTCGCGATCGGTCACCAGATTGTCTGTACGGTGGAGCCTTGGTGACGGTAACATTCTCAGCATGGATAGGAGCAGGGAATTATACGCGGGAGTTTGGGGGGGTATTTCTACATCGATTTCTCGCTAACAAGCATAGGAACTGGACGGCAGAAAAGAGTAAGGCCAGTCTTCGGATGAAGCACTCCACTTGCGAGAAGGCCGCCATCTTTACGGCCTTACACTAGCTGGCGAAGGAAAGAGCACTCAACTTGGGCGGACGTTTGGGTTGCTGGGCAGTGGGAAAAGCACAACACGGCGTTTGTTTTTGGTCTGGGGCGGGTGCTCTGGTTTAACAGGACATAAGGAGGCGTGCATCTTCAGGACATTCTTTCCCAGTGGTATCCCTCTAAATTAGTCTGCTTTCTTTGGCCGGGGGGGTGGGGGGGGATGGCGCGGGGCGGGCTGGGGTACTTTACAGCGTTTGCATTTATATAATATACATTGGGGCCTGCTTAGGTAGGGAGGTGGGTTGGGAGGCGGCAGCATGACTTTTACAAACCGACACAGTCTCATCATTCAGACACTACCAAGCAAGTATATGCCCGGTTCATCATTCTCTTCTGTTGATTCTAGTGCTTGTGTGTGGTAACTCGATCGATGGCCCGGACCAGCAGAAATCCGACCTTTCCCCCCCCCCCCCCATTCCATACGCATTCCACCCACCTACCCGCCCACCCGCCTTTCTCACTCACTACCCAACCATCTCTCAAACCGAACCTCCCATGAAAACCACAAACAAGATACTAGGTACCCCGGCCGTCCGTCAACAAAACCCTCAACGGCTCCGCCCAAACTTCTCATGCCACTTCCCCCTCGCCTTCGCCGCCGGCGCCGCCGCGGCCTCGTCCTCGGGCACGAGCTCTGTCGTGTCGTGCACGGTGGCGATCGTGCTCAGGCCCCCTACTACTACTGCTGCTGTTGGCGATGATGACGTGCCGTCGTCGCCTGTGGTGGTGGTGGCGGTGGGTGCGAGCAGGATGAGGGCGTTGGAGGTGTTCTTTTGGCGGAGCGAGTAGGTCTTGGACTTCGTCCTAAGGAGGGCGGCTGTGGGTGAGGGGTGGAGGGCGTTCCTGCTGCGGTGGGGGTTAGTGTGAGTGCGAGTGTGAGTGTGAGTGTGAGGTGCTGCTGCCATGCCCCGGGGGTTGCTTGACTGGGAGGAGGGGGTGGGGGTGGGGTGATGGCTTGGGATGGTGGACGTACGTGGGTGGGTCGGGGCTTTCGAGCAGTTCCAACAGCTCGGGCGGCAGCTCCAGGAGCTTGTACCCCGTTCCGTCGGGCGCGTGGGAGAGTGGGATGCCGGGGCTGGTTTGTATTGACATGGTTTTAATGGCTGGGTTTTTCCTCCTCCTATTTTTCTTTCACTTTTAGGGGAGATTGAGCTGAACTTGGGAAATCGGGGGATTTCCCCGACAGGAGAATTCTTGGTGAAACTGGGATGGCAAGGAGGCGGGTCGTCGGAGCTGTACCTTGGAATGAGTGATTCAATATTCGTACCGGGGTAAAAATACGTGCATGGTTCATGCCAGTTCGATCATGGGTAAGAACGCCAGGCGTAAGGTAATGTTTCTGTATTTTATACACGTATCGATATACAAGATACAGTCGAACATCTTGAACAGATCCACAAAACCCACCTCCACACCATGCAATATCAGCTGAGAAACAATCAGCAGACCTTATTATGAAGGGGTCTAGGTGGTGCATAGGGCTCAACGGTCACCCCGAGGGGAGCAATTACCGCCTCGCGAAAAAGGACATCAACAAGCACGTTGTCTCATGGGTGTTGGAACACATCGGTTGGCCCATGTGACGGGAGGCCAAACCTCTCGGAATAAACTGGTTTTGCAGGAGCTTTTACAACAGACGTCTCTGTCATACATTGTCACCGGAAGACGCTATGGCGAACACTCATCGCTGCTCCAAGGGCAGAGTTGGGATTTTCCCGCTCAGAGTAATAATACTCATGAAGTCAGCGCCGCCACAACCGGACGATATCTAGGAAACCTTAGTCATTCCCCAACACTACCCAGTCGACGTCAGCGCACTAATCTCGAGGCTCTGTACGGAGGTAGAGATTGGGAATGGCGTCATCAGTCAGGTGTCGCCCCTGCATTACTTGATGAAGACCTTCATCAACGCACATGCAATACCCCGGAACGCCACCCACCGGAGGAGTAGTGGCCTGACAAACGAATGCGTCTGTGTCGTCGTAACGAAGGACCTACCTTGTCGAATGCGTAGGCCGTCTACTGAAGCACGGGGCATGGTGGAGCCAGCCCAGCCTGCCCTCAGGCGAGACACCGCTGGATATTCTGGCAACAGTTCTGGGCGGCGAGGCTATAACGACATACACCCTGAGGGTTATACCGACCTGGGCAGCCAGCTCAAACTTGAAACAGGCCACGGAGGTATATCACACGGGATTGGAGGGCTGTTGACGTGGCCGGAAGGGAGCTCGGAGAATGGTTCAATCCGGTTGAGTTTCCTCGGCTCGGGGTCGAGGCGACGTGGTGTCAGGAATTGGTGGATCTTATTGAAACGGATAGTGAGATGGGGGACAAATAAACAAAAAAGAGGGCGAGGAAAAAAAGATTGGGTTGAGAAAGGAACCCTTAGTACAAAGGGAATTTGAACAGCAATGTGCTCGCCCTCAGCAGGATACTAGCCAGTGATCTAGTTATACAATTCATAAGACGGTGAAACAGAAGGCTGCCCTTGATGACAAGGCGTAGGTGGCATCTCACAACCACTGCTCAAACCTTGCGGTATATTTACCCATCGATCCGCCGCTAAGCTCGCGGTTGGGCAGCTAAGATGCAGCATATCAAGAAAGCAGCTACCTAAATCACACAATCACCATGGGTGACGCTATCAACGAGCCAGTTATCGAGGGCACTGCTAGTAAAGCATCCTCCAGGGTGATCTGCGAGGAATTCCTCAAAGTGCTGAGTCGCAAAGAGGTCGAACAGCCCATGATCTGGCACGTCACCTCCTCCCGAGATTCCCCCTCCCCCCAGCGAGTGAAGAAACACCACAGCTGACACACAGACCTACCCACCAACCAGCCAAAACCTCTGCCTCTGCGCCCAATTCTGGCGCTACCAACACTACCTGCTCCCCCGCTGGGACTGGGGCATCACCAAGTTCGTGTGCCTCGACCTCGGCAGCTTCCGCAACACCCAACCCAACGGCGGACCCTTCCCCTCCCCCTCCCCCTCCCATCCTCCCACCCTTACCGCTCCCACCCTCCCCCCACCCCCCCATCCCCAACACCCCCCGCAAAAGAAGAACGAGGAGCAAGAACCCCCATCTAACCCCAGCTACGCAACCGCCATCCGCGACCCGG